CATTCCTGCACCAGTCAGGGCCCCAGACCATCCTGGCTGCCTGGAGAAGCCTAATCTGAGTGTTTCCCCAGGGAATCCCTACAATGGCAACGATTTTATTTTCCAGCATGCAAGATTACACAGAACTATTTACAAAAAACGTGCTGCACTTGAAAGAGCTATCTTTATTTACCAAAGCTAGGAGAAAAATGAGTAAATATAAACACTACCACTATCCCAGCAAGTTCCTTAGGATGGTTTTGTAACACCTCACGATACCTCTGCTGAACAGGCCAACGCTGCTTCTCTTAGCAGAAAGCTCTCAAGAGCCCACCTGAGCCTTCCGAACCTCCAGCCTGGGGCAGGGTACAGGAACCAGGTTCTCCTACCCGGGGAACCAGCAGACATTCCCCATCCCAAAGCTTCACAGAGCCAGCAGGTGGCAGCTCATCTTTGCCTAGGCTTTCTGTCAGAGTAAGTTGTGTTTTCCAGGCAGTAAGGAATAGCCATTCTGGGCTAAGAACAAGCTTGCAGCTTCATTCTGTTCAAAGAAACAATTTACTAAGTTTCATAGATGGGAAGCGGAGCTTCCCCAACTTCACATCTGTCCATATAGCAACCCAGGGATTGGAGCAGGACAGACAGCTACTGCTGAGTAATGACATGGACCATGAAGATTCTTCCATGATAAAGGAAATCAGAAAACACCTGTATTTCCAGTTCCTGCCAGCTCCTCCTCTGTATCGGAGGGCACCTGGAACCAGACAAAGCCCACTTCACTTTTTTATATCTCCTGTACACAACTACACAGAACTAGGACTCGGCTGTCTTGCAGGCAGGATGCTCTGAGCGATGGCTAAGCTAACAAGTTGGCATTGTCCCATAAAAGCCTACTCCTATGTGCTTGTTATTGAAAACCAGTCTTGAAAACCCACGCTGCAGGGCTGCGTGGACGTACCCATCCAGCCCAGGCAATAGCAGAGGTGACAGAGCCAGGAGCCCGAAGCACGCATTCGGCAAGCCGCGTGGGGCGCAGGAGCCTCAGCAGCACAGGAGGTGGCATTTCAGCACACCCATCTCCACCACACTTCCAGGCACGCTCATCAAACTAGCTGCAGGGCAGGTGTTATGATCACAAATACCAGGCTGGGATAAGATAAAAATCCCAGTTACCACAGGTACTGCCTGCCCTGAGAAGTTCCTCCAGCAGAAATCACCGCTCCGGCTGTCCATTCCCCTTCCCAACACACAGGGCAGCACCACTGCATCAGGAGTTACTGACTGGTCAGGATGAGCAACATTTCGACTTTTTTTTTTTTTTCCAGACAATACCTGGATTTTCTTCAACAGAGATGTACCAATACAGCAACTCCTCCTGCAGGAACTGCCTACAGGCGTTTCAGTCAAAAAGAAACATCAGGTGCAAGCTATTGAACGTTTATAGAAACATTCAGCTATTTGTACCCATTACAAGAATAGCGGTGAAACTCCCAGTCCTAGAAGGGGACAGCAGAAGAAATCCACGTTACGTTGCTTGGGGAACCCTTCCGAGCGGCGGCCCGTTTCAGGCTCTCCCCTGCACCCCAGGCTGTCTTTCAAGCTCTGTACACCCGGCGCAGTGGCAAAACACTGGTCTGGAGGGTACGTTCGATATATTACAGCGACCGCAGAGCACGCAGCAGCCCCGCTCGCCGGCGCTGCCGAGCGCAAACCCTCCGCCAGCCACGGCCGCACGGGAAAGGGATTCTTCCGTAAGCAAGCGTCACTAGCTTGCACGCCTCGCAGGCTGTAGAAAGCAGGCGTAGCGAGTTGAAGGAATTGCGCTAACCAGATCCACAGGCGAGGTTTGTAAAGTTCGAGTTTGGGGATCTCACAGCAAAGCGGGGTGCCGGCCACAAAACCAACCCACGCCCTCCACCTGAGCGCCCCGCCAGACGCCCGCCCGGCTCCTCCCGCGCCCACGGAGCCCCCGCATCTGCCG